ACTCTAAGTAAGCAACTAATAATCACAAAGTTACAATAAAGTAAAAATGAGTTTGAATCACAATAAGAGATAGAAGACCATTATTCTAAATGTTGGGTTCAATGAACTTTTGTGAATGCTGAAGCTATGTTCCCATCAATTTCTTAGCATTAAGCACCTTTAAGCTGAATGTGAGAGAGAATATGAAAGCCAAACACACCCAGTCCTGAAGCTAAGAATTCTGTGGATCCAGGGTTGAAAGAGTAAGGAGTTCAAAAGCCGAAACCATCAGATGGGATCTCATGATCTGCTCATCAAAATATGTTCTTGTCAGTATCATCACTGCTGGTATTGGACAATTTTTCCAAGTGTTTTCAGAAACAGATTTCTCCACTGTCATTTTGTAAGAGATGGATTCCATCACAGGAAACAAGTGTCCTGTTTTCCAGTGGACAGGAAAAATAATAGCAGAGAAATAAAGGAGGGAAAGAGAACTGTGTGTGGCCAAAGAGATGAAGAATAACTGAAAATGGCATTTAACAATGGGAATAACTTACCTTCAGCTGTATCACAGAGATGTGGAGTGAAGGCTATGGAAAGGGGAAGAGCATGAAAAAATACTACAAGACTTGCTTATATATTGCTGAACAAGTTTATTTAGTAGATTGATAAGTATCAACATTATAATTCTACATGCAGGATTGTTTATTTTGTACAAATATACATATAAGAAGCATTGTCCATCTCTAGAGCCACATGTTAGACAAAACTAAACATGCAAATACACCCATGCTCTTACAGGTAAAAGAAACATGAAATGAGAAGCGTTGTCCATTTCTAGAGCTACATACATGTTAGACAGAACTAAACATGCAAATACACCCATGCTCTTACAGGTAAAAGAAACATGAAATTTTATTTAATTTGTGTTGCAATAGCACCTTGCTATTCAAATGGAAATCAGAGTCTCACTGTGCTGTGTTAGCTGATATATATAGAAAGGAAAATAGTGGAGAGGGTGAGGAGGGCTGACAAAATGCACTAAAAATACCACTTTCCACTAATGCATTCTTTGGCAACGCACCAAAGTTAATATTAATATTCTGCCAAAAGTCAAAGGGTCCCAAGTCCTCATTACTATTTGAAATTATATTGAGTTAATGTGCCTAATTCTCACTTCTCACTGATTCCATGCTGGCTTTAGAGCCAATGAAGTATAAATGGTTTGCTTTATCTCTGTCCTCTGGGAGATGCCTTGCTGGTTCCCACCTTCTAGAGTGCTTCCTACCAGGTTCTTACCCCAGCCTATAATGCTACGTTTATAGCTACGGCTATACAAAAGTATCTTTAAAGTTCTTAAAAGCATCTAGTGGCTTTGATTTACTTGATGCACCTTCGGGTACTTGATCATCCAGCAGTGGTTGTTGAGCTCATGTAAACTTTAACACTTCAAAAGTTGAGCAATGTAAAAGCTGCCATCAACTGGGCATGTTTAATTGAAGCCATACAAAATCAATAATTGTTTTTGAAAATTCAGAACACATTTGACATTTCAAGTAGAAAGGCAAGCTGATTTAATTTTATTATTTCCACATACAAAGTTTTATTTAATTTTGCAGTGTGTTAGACGAAATTGCTCTCTTCCCAAATTAGAAATGATAAAAGCATTAATTTCTGTAAATTAAATCACTTTCAGAGATCAGAAGTTGCTCAGCCTCTCACAGAAAGACTGGGTGCAGTTATGTAAGACAAGCATGTTGATTCATACCAATTATGCTATGCATTACTTGGAAGAGTCTTCACAGATTTTCCCCAAAACCAAATTTAAATGTGGGAAAGAGGCTTCTGTGATCTGAAAGAGGCTTCTGTGATCTGAAACAATCATTCTGTTGTAAGGCTGGCAAAATTCCCATGTTTAAGGAGTGAATGAGCAAGGTCCAGAAACACCAGTCCTATCTATTCTTTATTTCTCTCCCGCTGAACATAATAGGGTACAAACCCAATGGCTAATAGGTAATTTTATTTCACTCCATTCTTGCACTTCCCATTATATAACAGCATTAGAATAGATTTACTTTTGGTCATGCTTTAATTTTTAGGACAGTGATGCATAACTACACTGTTTCCAGTTATCAGATCTCTCTGTGAAATCTAGAACAGAATAGTGTTGATAAATCCTGGAAAAATTGCTAAAGACCTGTATTGCTTTCTGAAGGTATGATTACTTCTTGTGCCACAGAAGCAGACAGAGCTGGTTAATTTATTCCTTATACACTTGTGACTTATTTGAAGTCCCAAACTCTCATCCAAGAAAAATCTCTCACTAACTTCTTCAAAGGGAACTGAGTGCTCATGATGTATAGCTCTTCCTTTTCCTTCGATCATCTAGATGTCTTCCTGTCATAACCATTCCCCTAACTTCATCTTTTCCTTCTCTGACAAGGTCTAACTCCTTTCATGCCGTGTTTCCTCACCATTTCACTTTTTTCTGCATTCACTCCCCTTGCAGGTACAAACACGTTGTTTCTTGTTTGCTCAGAATAGAAACCTGCAAGTCCACCTGCTTTTCCATCTTTCTTTGTCAGAGGCTAAGGGCTCCCAAGTACTATCTTAGCTCTTTGCCACTTTCCCATCCCCTCTATCACTCCACCCACATCACTTTCCAGTCCTCTTCCACTCTGCTTCCTCCCTAAGAAATTTTTCCTGAAAAGATTTCTGTAGACATTTACCAAACTATGCCCTTTCAGTTTCACCTCCAAGAGTCATGTCTGCCTGATGTAAAACTAAGAACTGGCAATTTAAAAGGTATTTAACCTTATAAAGATTATGCAGACAGAATTCCCTGCTGTTTTCCATTGTACTTATCAAAGCTAAAGAGATCTTTGGGACAGGGTCAACGACATCACGTTAAGGATTATCCTAGAAGGAGATCAATTAGCAGGTATTTGAACTAGGTAAGACGACTACGTTTGGGGGGGGGGGGTTGTTTTTGTTTTGTGGCGTGTGTGGGGGGGGTGTGTTTTGATTTTTTTGGGGTTTTTTTTGTTTGTTTGCTTCTGGGTTTTTTTCCCCCAGCAGTCCCAGGGTGCCACAGAGTACTTTGATCAGTATCTTGAAAGTTACTCTTCCAGGCACCACAAACTTCCCTTTGCTGTTGTCTGGGTGAAGGGACTGTTTTAGAAGAGACTCCCTCTCTTCCTCCCCCCGGACGGGATCTGATGCCTCGGGCCGGCCGCCCCCTCCAGCGATGGGGGAACAGCCCCTGTTCCCTGGGCGCTTCCGCCCCCCGGAGTCCAGGCGCGAATCCCTCGGGAACCCGCCTTCCCCCGGCGCCGAGGGGGCCGGGAGAGCGCCGGTGAGTCACGGCGGGTCCCGCGGCACTCCCTGCCCGGCCCCGCTCGCCCGGGGCAGAGCCCGGCGCTGCTCGGCGGTCGCGGTCCCGCTCGGGGCACGCAGGGCTCCGGCTCGGGACGTGCCGGCACTAGCGGCCCCGGCTCTGCTTCTCTCGGCTCGGTCCCCTGGGACGGAGAGCCCAAGCACAAGCGCACGGACTAGCAGCGGCCTCGCCATGTCTTCCTCCGCTCAGCCAAACCACCCTTCCAGACGTTCTCAGGCTCGGTGCTGCTCGGGGGGTGTGATCCCTCAGCCCCGTGTACACGGGACCTGCCGGCATCTCCCGCCTGCAGCTAGACTGGGGAGCGCCAGAGCGATCCCTCCATAAACTGCTTTTGCCCCTAAGCACCATTTAGCTTAAAGCAAGGGCGAGCGAGCGCGGCTCCCCGTTAGCCGGAGCTCTAGTCACCGCACGTGAGACACGACAGCGCTGGGGAAGCGACACTGGTTACAAAAACCCCAAACCAGCACCCCCACCACCCCCAGGAGAAACAAGCCAGCCGCCCTCCCTCCTTCCCGGTGGCAAGGGAGCACGCGCTGACACAGAGGATCGATGGCAGAACCCTCCGGCTCCCAGTGAGGGGAGCGTAGCGCTTCGGACTCCCGCCAGCTCCCAGCAAAGTTTCGTTACCCCGACCTGCGTGCGCATGGAAAAGGAGAGAACTCGAGTCTCGGAGGAATGAGGAGTTCCGGGAACAGCTAAGTAAGTACAATAAGAACTATAGCACATACACCACAATTTCGGGGGCGGCACTTTATACTGCACCGACACCCAGCATCCAGCCGAGTGCCCAGCCCTGCGCGTCAGGGAATAATCGGCTCCATGGACGGGGGGAGCCAGAGGAGCTCTGGGATCCGCACGCAGCGGGACGTGCGCGAATCAGGGCCAGGAGGCAAATCAGAGAAGCTGGTGACAAACTACAGAGTTTTGTAGTTTGAAACATGTTGTAACCAGCCCGGCAGAGATGAGGAGATAAAGCCGGTATGTTTAGCAAGTAAAAAACGCAGAGCAACATTCTAGCACACACAAGGAGAAACTGTAGACACGACTCAAAGACAACACCGCACTTTATTGGTTGCGTTCTGGTTGAAGGATACGCGATGAGGAGACGAGAAGGCGATTTCGTGAAGACTACCGTGAACTCTGATGAGGGGTCCAGAGAGCGGGCTGAGCCGCCTCCCCACGCATGCACAGCACCGTGGGGGACTCTTGAGCAAGTTTTAAAAGCTCCTCCTTCACTCTTCCGACGGCTTTGGGCACGCTTTTTGCCGCCGGATGGCACCGATTCCCCTCTTCGGGAGCTCCATAGAGACCACATAATGCCTCATCAGGAGCCACGGAACGACCTGCGATCCCGGACGGAGGGCAGGACGGAGCCCGAGGGGAGCGCAGAGGCGGCGCGCTGGGGAGGGTGACGGAGCGCCTGGGGGTCCCTGCACACACTACAGGGCAAGAACCAATGGATGGGGACCCTGGTCCCCCGCCTTCAGCCGGCGGCCCGCACGGACTCGACAAGCGGGCGGACTCCTCAGGACAGGTGGAAGCCAGGACAAGGATAGCGGCGGGACTCGGGCGCTCGCCGCTCCCTGCCACCGCCGGGGCAGGGTGCGGGGGGTCCAGCCCTTACCTGAGTTCCGAAGCTTGCGGTTCTTGAAGACGGAGAGGATGACCAGCAGGTTGCCCAGGATGTCCACCACGGTGGTGAAGATCAGCACGCTGGACAGCACCGGCACCACCCAGGCGGGCCGCGGGGCGCCCGCCGCCGCCGCCTCCCGCTCCGCCAAGCCGAGGCGGCCGCGCCCGCCCGGGTCACAGCAGTTCCTCAGGGAGCCGTTCTCCAGCATCGCGGCCACCCCGTCCCGGCGCCTCCCCGCGGTGACCGGCGGCGGCCCCGCGGACTGACCGCGCGGGCGGCCGGGAACGGCTTTAAGGGGCGCGCCGGGCGCTGCTCCACCGGGAGGGGCGGGGATGGGGCGGTGCCAGAGCCCCCTCCCCTTGCCGGGCGGTGGGGGAAGCCCGGGGGCGGGCCAGCCCCGCCTGCCGAGGGAGGGAGGGAGGGAGGAGGCGGCGGGAGCGGAGCGGAGCGGAGCGGAGCGGGAGCGGCGGGGACTGCCGGGGCGCGGACAGCATCCGCGGGTAGCGGTGGCAGCCGCGCTCGGCCATCCCCGGTGACAGCTTGCGCGGCCGGAGAGCCGCGGGGACAGGAGGGGGCGGCGGAGAAACCCTGTCCCAAAGCACTGCACCGGCCCCAGGGCTCAGCCGCCGGGAGAGCGCTTGTTGGGGGGTTGTTTATGTTTTGGTTCCAGGGAGTTGTTTTGGTTGTTTTTTCCCTGCCCCGCGGCTCGGACCGCGGTGTTCCCGGCAGCGCAAGGCCAGCGCTCCCCCCGGCTCTGGCCGCCAGGCACACGGTGCGCCCAGACGAGTGTTCCTGGCACACTCCTCCCGTCGGCCTGGCAGCAGATCTGAGGGGTCGTACGCTGCCTTGGCCGTGGCCTTGTGCCTCGCGTTTGAGCACAGCGGTCACTGAGGGCAGCGCCCGTGGGGCGATAGCTGCGAGCGCCTCGGACGGGACCAGCCCGCGCCCATGTCGGCTTCGGGAGCCGGGCGCGTTCCGCGGGATTTTCCTTCCAAGCTGCAGGGCAGACAGAAGGGCACCGACGGGCTTCACTCTGCAATTAGTCTCGTTTCCTTTGGGCCCCTCAGAGTGACAGCTACCATATGCTCATTTGCGATAGACAAATAAGCGAGAGGCGTGGGCAGAGGAGGGCACGGGCCGCCTGTCGCCGTGCCGGGCTGCGGGTGGCACGGCCGCCACGTGCCGCTGGCACTGTGACACCGCGCTCGCACCGCGGGGACCGGCAATTAGGGCTGCTCTCGGCAGACGTAACTCGGCAGGGGTTTGTGCCCTACTTCTCATTGTTTTCAGGCCATCCAGGTCACACTGCGTCGCTGTCCTGCTTTCACAGGAAGGTGTGCCCCTCAGCTTTTCAATAATAAAGAGGACAAGTTTCTGTGTTTTCCAACGGTAAATAACTTACTGTGGCTCATTGCTTCTTTGAGGCTTAACGTGCACTGGTGTAATCAAAATGCTAAAGACTACTTTGTGGGCTTTTTTTTTGAAATAGTTTATTGTTCAGTTTAAAATCCTACTCAATTTTAGATAAACCGAAGTAGTCCTGGTTGGAGTGAACATAGAATCATGCATGTAGATTTTTGTGCCAGTCTTATTTACACTGATTAAAAAAAAGAAAACAACCCTTCTACAGATACTTTCTGTTTAATGTAGGCAAGGCACCATGGTCCTTTCCAAACTACAGCTGGAGTTATCAGGGCTTCATGGTTTGGACCAAAGAACAACCTTCTTCTGACAATTATCACTCCTAAATAGTTATTTTGCAGTTCTGACATACGAAAGTAATAACTGCAACTTGACAGGACAGGCTCATTCTTGATAGAAGTGAGAGTTCACTTGGTTTTCCTTTTTCTTTCTCCAGAAGTTGAAAAGGTAGCTGATCCAAGGAAATGCCTATTTTCTGTATTCATCAGTGCAAAGGAGGATTTTTCACTAATGAACAATGATCTGTAAGAGTAGTTTAAGAATAACTTTTGAGTTTCAGTGTTCCCCTTTATCTGCCTCTGTTCCAATTTCCCCTTTCAGAAAGATGTTATTCTCACTGCCCATTATCTATGTACTACTCTAGACTTATGGACTTGTTATGGGAAACTTACACATATTAGCATTTATTTTCATGCCTGAGGCTCTTTCTGGGCATCTCTCCAGAATCTGTGTAAGTGCTTCCAGGAGAACTGTACCATTTTCTTGTCTGTCATTACTACAGGATTTATCTTTAACTGTTTGTCAAAAGCTTAAACTGCCCCTGAGCATAAATGTGGCTTTTCAAGGTAGGCTTTGCTCCTGGCATTATCCAGGTTTGCAGTTTGTCCCCACAAGAGGAACAATGTATTTCTCCCTGTCACACACAATTGTTATGTATCATTGCTCACTTCATTTAATAACTCCCAAAAGTGTACCAAGTGATTTAGAGAAAAATTAGAAAGCTATGGCCTGAGCTTGGCCTGAAGTATGAGCCTGCCACAAAATGTGAAACAGAGTGAGCGTTCTGGCTTTGGAACAAGAGTCTGACTTTTGTGGTTGCACTGGCATTTGATAGCAGAAAAACAAGCAGGTAGGAATAAAACTGGTACCTTTCCTGCCTCAGCAACCTGCATGTCCTTTATCTGCTCTGAATTTCCACTCTCTTCATTAGTATCAGTAACACAGACTGGAATAATTATTTAGTGTTGTCTGTCGAAGGATAAATTATAACCATTAATCTTATTTGCTTTGTAAAATGATTGATTAAGATGCATTAAACAATCTGTGGATGATCTTACTCAGCTTTTTAGTAGCCTTATTTCCAATTAACCAAATTCTCTTTGAAAGTGAAATAGATATTTAAGCCTATTGATTGTTGCAGTTGCTATGAAATAACTCGTTGCAGAAAGCTCTCCATCTCAAAGGATATATCCTTCCCAGCTGGATTGTGAATTTATATTTTTAATTTTAGGAAAATTTTCTTCTATGTCTAGGAAAATTAACCAAGTCTTGTGTCTCTTTTTGAAATCAATCTAAAGTTTTCTAAAGGCAAGCTCTGTTTATTTTGCAGGATAAGACAAGGAATTGCCTGAATGGTGGAGCAATCAAATATTCCATGCATTGCTCTGCTGCCTGAGGCTAAACTCTCTTGTTTGTCTTTTTAATTTTTTTTTTCCTGTTCATTCTGAAGACAAATGACTGCTTCCTGGAGATACATTCAAGCACTTTTTTGTCTTTGATTTTTCCATTTGAGTTTCTGAATCTGTAACTGGTCACAGAAGTCAAAACTTTTCATAAGCACAAATGAAATTTCAGGACAGAGGATCCCTTTGGCAAAATTTCTTGAATTTCATGTATTCCACTGAAGAAGAAATTATGTCTCCTCTATGTTTGTTATTTCAGCACACATTTCTACATAACCAAGGGATACTTAGAGCTAAAATGCAGTTTCTAAATAGTGTTCCTACTTTTAACTATCTCAGTTTGAGTTGAATGTTCTCACTGTGCACACCATGGCAGGGACTGGAGTCTTATACCTTTTATACCTCTTTCATTTCTATACAATTTGGGTTTTTTTCATGTAGGTCTATAATTTTAAGTCAACTTGAGCCCACTGTTTAAATGAAAGTCTGTGTTCTTGTCCACTGTTGTCATGAGCCTGTACAAAAAGGGGGTATCTTCTCCCTCTGATCAAGAAGGGTCTTTCTTTTCTGTAGGAACAGAAGATTCATTTATTAACATTTTCTGCTCTGAGTTTCATCTTTTCCATGCAATGTTAATACTTTTAATGTAGAAATCAAAGCCGTAGTTAGAAGAAGGTTATTTTGTTGTCCATAATTTTCCAACCCCTTTTTACCTGCTGGAAATTGCCCGTAAAATGAGATCTGCCATCCCAGTCTCAATAATTTATTGATGTTTTAGTCAAACTGAATTTCTATGGCACATAAGAGGATAATTTTGCTGTGAATTTTCAGTGAAAGGAGTCACCCATTTTTGAATCTTTAATCAATAGATTGGACAAAACAGAGATGTGGTGTGGGAAGGGATTTAGGTTGAGTACATCTCAGCCTAAGAGAGAGAGAGAGAAATTGAGATCAGCTACCCAAGAATTGTAAACATTCATTGTCCTGTAATCATTGGATGGGTGTGGGAAGTAGGTGGAATAGATAACCTTGTGCATGTCTTTCTGCTGAAACTGAAGAGGAGCTTTGAGAACTAGCTTAGACTAGGTATTGCAGTGTGAGGTGATTAAAGGGGAAGATTGCTTGGGGAAGATTATTCCAAGGGTTGTCGCAGGACTAAAGCTACACGTCAGATCTCTTGATTAGGAATCAGTGTCGGATTTCAAAACATTTCAAAGCCATCCTATCTCTAAACATGCTCTCTTATTCCACCTTCCCCGCTCTTTAGCATAAGTGTTTCTATGTATATATGTACTTTGTATACAGTATATGTACACACACACTCTGTGTATAGCACAAGCTGCTGTTGCTGTTCCTCTCCTGGGACTGTTCTGCCAATTTGTGTTGTGCTTTACTAATATATAACCACAAGCTGGAGTGGAAGAAACTGATTTTCATTCATGACCTCAACTAATATTTGAACTTACATTTTTCAGAGGTGAAAGGCTAATTCCCTTATTCTGCATAACCCTATGACTAATCCTTTTTAAGATGGAAACCAGAGCCAGAAGAACATAATTGGTTTATATTATTAGAGAGAGCTACCACAATCCTGATGTTTATGTAGCATTCAGGTGCTGTTATCTCTGTCCTTCAGCTTGTTTTTTGCAAGCAGCTGCTAGTTTTGTCACAGCCAGAAGGCCTAGATGTGCTGGGGAGGGAGAGGTGCACTGGCAATCAGGAGGCTCTGAAGTCCTGGTGGTGACTGTCCCATGAATCTATCATGGGACTGGGACTAACTAACTAATTTTGTTTCTTTGTCTCTTTTGTTGCATTAAAATGAGGCTAAGGAAAGTCTGTTGTGTACTTCTTGGAAGGGTATTGAGAGTGATTTTGTTAATGTTTTGAAATAAATTTAATTTTGCAATTTTGCTATGCAGCTTATTGTACTTTTTTAAGTTAATGCAAAGCTGTCACGAATGGTCTAAGCTGCATAAAAACAAGCCTGCAGCTCTCTGCCAACACCAGCAGTAACGGATGGTCTGCTTCACAGGGCTGACCATGCATGAGCTGAAATTTGGAGCCAAGGAATAATTTGGTTTGGTGAATCAAATGAGTTCAAAACTTAAATACAACTTTTTAAATAAAGATAAAGGTCATGT